TACCTGAGGATCCAGCTATACCACTCCTAGGCATATACCCAGAAGATGCTCAAACATATAACAAGGACATATGCTCAACTATGTTCATAGCAGCCCTATTTATAATAGCCAGGAGCTGGAAAGAACCCCAGATGTCCTTCAACCAAGGAATGGATTCAAAAAATGTGGTATATTTACACAATGGAGTATTACTCAGCTATTAAAAACAATGAATTCGAGAGGTTCCTAGGTAAATGGATGGAACTAGAAATTATCATCCTGAGTGAGGTAAGCCAATCACAAAAGAACTCACATGGTATTCACTCACTGATTATTGGATATTAGCCCAGAACCTTGAAATGCCCAAGATGCAACTCACAGGCCACATGAAGCTCATAAAAAAGGAAGACCAAGTGGGGGTGATTCAGTTCTTAGAAGGAGCAACAAAATACTCAAGGAGCAAATATGGAGACAAAGAGAGGGACAGAAACTGAAGGAGGGGCCATTTGAAGACCTTTCCACCTGAGTATCCATCCCATGTGCAGTCACCAAAGATAGATGCTGATGTGGAAGTCAGGAAGTGCATGCCGATAAGGGCCTGATATGGATGTCTCCTCAGAGGCCTTCAAGAGTCTGACATATTCAGAGGCAGAGGCTCACAACTAGCCATTGAACTGATCATGGGGTTCTCAATGGAGGAGTTAGAGTGAGGACTGAAGGAGCTGAAAGGGTTTGTGGCACCATGAGGAGAGCAACAATACCAACCAACCACAGCTCCCAGGGTCCTAACCACCAGCCTGGGAGCACTTATGGAGGGATCCAGGGCTTCAGCTGAATATGTAAGAGTGGATGGCCCTGCCGGGCACAGATGGAAGATGAGATCCTTGACCTCATGAAGGCTGGACGCCCCAGGGGGTGGGAAGTTTGAGGGTGGGGAAGTGGGAGTGGGGGGGTAGGTGGGGGTTACATCAATGGAGAAGGAGGAGGAGGAGTAAGGGGATGGGGGGTTCCCGGGTGGGTGGGGGATGGGGTAAGGGGATAACATATGAAATGTAAATAAAATATCCAATAAAAAAAAAAAGAAGAAGCAGTCTCATATTCTGACAAACACGTTGCTCTGTATTTTAATTAGGTGAGTCAAAATTGAGTATTTATTTTTATTTTTAACTAATAATACACTGATATATTAAATATATTAAAAATTAAAAGATCCAATAAGTAAACAGAAAAAAAAAGTAATTTTTACTAACAACAGGCCAGGAATCATGCTTACTACCTTCATCTTGTTACATGTTTTTCCAAGATTCATGTTAGTACTGTTTATATAGATGAAAAGATATCTCTTTATACTGCTTTGGACTTGATTCTTTTATTAAGTAATACATGGTGAGTATGTGTTCTTGCCAGCAAATACTATATATAGCACACCCTGAAAAGTCGTCTGATGTTCCCTAATATGAACATGCTGTTCTTCCTCAAGACTCTATGTTCAGATATTCAAGATCTTTGTAATATTTTTTCAAACATTAAAAACATTGTGCTACAAGTATTCATACTAATTTTTCAAAAGTAGCTTAATATTTGTATACATCTTAAGCTATTGCTTTCAAACTAATTAGAAAGCCAATTACACATTCAACTGTGCTAATAGCACTGACTTCTTTTGTTGTTTCTGGTCAGGAAAAGACCAAAAGTAACTTACTATCCTACCTTCAAAATAGAAAAGTGCATCAAAGTGAGGTATGAGGAATAAGTCACTTATGTAAAATTCAACTCCCAGAAGTCGCGATACAAGTTGTGTGGCCTGTTTCACTAGGCAGTTCAGCTGGGAAGGTGTGGAGGGCTAATGAAAAAATGACTCACTGATGTGGTTTTGTTTAACTGAACCAGTTAGACAAATAATAATAAAGCTTAACTTACGGAGATATAATGGAAAATAGAGCATCAGTTATAGCTCAAACTCATAAACAAAACCACTCCATTTCTCTGTGTTAATGGTGAATCACTACCACACTCCTTGGCTACATTCTAACATGAACATACAGAAAGGATGCATCCTGGAATCTGCTTGCTCTGGGAAATGCAAAAGCAACATACAAGGCAGACAAATTAATGGCTGAGTGATGGAACAGGCTCAGAAGTTCTCAAGCAGGAAATCTCTAGTCATTTCCTTTTTGAGATCATGTGTACTACACCTTCATATGACCAGTTGGAAGAAACAGTTTTGGAAGAAAATCCACTAAGCAGTTAGCTGGAGGTTATTCTTTCGAAGCCCACACGAAAGAAAAGTCATTCTGGCAGTAATAAGTAGACAGCGGAAAGCTAAAATCAACATGTTAATGTCATCACTGATTATAATTGTTAAAGGCAGAGAAAAAATGTATAACTTAAAGGCATAAGGCAAGAGCAATTTACTTCTATAAAGCTTTTCTGATATTAAAAACACAATAATAATTTTAAAACACCAAACCAAAATGTTGACAGATTTTACATCAAATTATCTATCTAAAAGTTATGTTATGAAAGTAATGCATTGATATTTATATACTTCAGATATGTCCGTTTATAATATAGATAAATTTAAATTATAAAACAAAACATACTAAGCAGTATAGAAAATATAATGAATGATAATGACCAATTCATCTAATTTATGAAAGAATACTGTGTCAGTATGTTATGACTGTTTTTGATTATTCCCCAAGTGCATCATGATATATAATTAAAATATATAACCATTTTGTATGCTTTAAGATTTTCATATATTAAATTATACTATATGAAATTCTCTGTATGTTGTTGGAAAATTCCATAAACTTGACTATTGCCAAGGTGATTGATTGCTCTCCACAAACTGAGGGTAAGATCCCATTGCGGAAGAAACACCTACATATCTTTTTAAACACGACAAAGTTGAGCTGCTGTGGTCTACTGCTGTGGTCCTGGTTTTGAAAAGCTCTGGGAACAGGAAAGAGAGTATTCCTCTCTGGGATGCAGCTCTAGTGGGGAAATATTATTAGGACAGCATAGTCTTACATAATCTTGGATAACTCAGTAATCTAATGCAATCCTATTGAATATCATGAGATACCTCCTATTGACTAGTGTTCATGATACTGGAAGGTACTCTGTATGCTACCAGAGGAGAAAGCTAAATACTAACCTAGCTACAAACTCTTCACCCCTGTGGTCTAGTGTCTTTTGTACAAGAAGGTACTCTGTATGCTACAAAAGGAGAAAAGTAAATATTAACCCAGCTACAAGCCCTTCTAAGTACAGCAGTTACCTGCCTTCGTGATATGCTGTTGCAACGGTGGTACAACAGCTGTGAGAGTAACCAGCCACTATCTGATTGTTTCTAAAAGTTTATGCATTTACTTATTTGTTTGTTTATTTAACTTCTAACTGATTTTTGTGAATTTCACATCATGCACCCCAGTCCCACTCATCTCTCCATGTCTTAGTACCTGTCCTCTACCTCTGCAACCTCACCCCCAAAAGGAAAGAAAATCACATTGTGGAAGCTGTATATATCAGTATGTCCCATGGCTTACCTTTTTGTCCACACTTCCTTACTTATAAATGTTCATTGGTCTGGTTTGAGGCCTCTGGCTTCTACACTAGCAATACTGGATCCTCACTGGAACTCCTTTGGATACCCTCTTGGTACCCTGTATCATGGAGATCCTGCAGCTTTGGATCTACAGGACCAGCCCCTTCACATGGTCCAGCAGTTCACTGATTGGGAAGATGTTGGGGTGGGCCAACTCAAAGTCCTGAATCTGGGCCTGGGTGATATCTAAGCTGGTAAGCCTGCCAGCTATCATGCACCTAGAACCTTATTTTGTTAATTTTAGTTTTTATTTATCTGATTAATTTGAGGGATGATGCCTAGTTGTAGCTATGGCTAGCCTAGGAATTGCTTTGTAGGCCCATTTTACCTTGAACTCATATTTACCTGCCTCGGCTTCAAGTACTAGGACTATTGTCATTCACCACCACACTCAACTGAGAGAACTTTTGTTAATTTCATACTTACTATTATCACCAGGATGCTGTTACTTCATGGCTAGGGAGCTAGATCTCTTATCTTCATTGCTTTTTTGGTGTTTTGTGTATTATTAACTTTCACCTAGTTTTAATGATATCTCTTAAAACATAGCAGAAAATATTCCACTGTAATTACATGTATAAGTTATAATAGCTTAATGAGATTATAAACAAAATGAGTGCCATCAATTTTATACTAGCAATGGATATATGCCTTGAGAGGAGGAAGTGAGTATGAGTCAATCCAATGGAGCTAGAGGGCAATTCTAAATAGGTTAAAATAAGGCATTTTTGAATTGTACATGGATATCAATGTCATTGTTATAACATTGAGTTTACAATGTAGGCAAACTACACGTACCATAAAATTTCAATGAAGATCTAAGAATTATTAAACTAGCTGAAGGTAAAATGAGACTGAACACTGTTCCTTTGACTGTCAGTCGACGAGAATTCTGAGGTCAGTGTTACCATGGTCTGATGCTGTGGTCTGGTTTCACGGAACCCTGAGAACAGGAAAGAGAGTTTTACCCCTCCAGGATGCAGCTCCAGGGGGAAATGCCATGATGTTTAGCACAGTCTTACATAATTTTGGATGTCCCAGTAATCCAATGCAGTCCTATTAAATAATCATAATAATGGGATGCAAACTCCATACTCAGTCATGGGAAGTAACTGAGTAAACAAAAAACTTAACTACAGGGCTTTCCAATATCTAAAACAATTTTTAAAAATAGAAGACAGAAGAAATTGTGAACAAGAAGAGAGCCACAGAGATAAAAGCATGAATATAGCAAAATTCAACCTAGAATGTGATGATGATGCTGTTGAAGCAGAGTTTAGCACTTTATGGAGAGTGGCCTTCTTAAGGTCTTTATCCACATACGCTTTACTTTCTCAAATACATCCCGATCGTACTGTAATCCGGGTGCTCTAGCGATTCCTTCCCATCAAATACACTAGAAAACAGTGGCACTTATTTGTGGGTTTTGCTGAATCGGTGAACAAAGGCTTAAAGATATGCACAAAACGTAAGTCCAGTTTTGCAATGAAGAACTCACTATTTGGTATGAGTTTTGATATATATCACAAGGGATATGATGCCCAATACAATTAAAAGTGATGATGATATTGATAATAAGATTGGCTTTAAGATTAATAAAGCTGATATTGTAAAGCCTGAACCATGTTAGACATCCTCTTGGGTCATCTCCACTCCGCATTTGCATGAGTGTTGAGAAGAAAAAGAGGCACTCAAAAAAAGGACAGGCAAGAATGAGTAAGTGCTTCCCAAGGGAGAGTAAAGTAAGACATATTCAAGTGTGATATAAGCTCCTCAAGGAAGAGTTGTAGTTTGTATAAGACACACAACAATATATTGGAGTAGGCCAATTAATTCTGCTTAAATTGCCCTGGCAGGACAGCAGCTGTGGAAGTTCCTCACCACCTGCCTCAGTGTTCTGGGTTCGTGAATGAAAAACATAAACACACACACACACACACACACACACACACACACACACACACACACAACCTTCTATAGTAATATGCCTTAAAAACCTCAATGGTTGGATTTTTCCAAATTCTCCCCTCCCATAATCCTGAATTATTACTTACTAAAACCTATATTCCATCCTGGCTGCCACGACCCAGGCCTGTAGCCCCCTGGGCCATGATCCCTGTCTGTCACATGTTGGCTGTCTCTCTGTCCTACACTTTTCAGGACTGGTCTTTCTCCTTTCCCAGTATGGGGGTTCTAAATTCTTTTTCCTCTCTTGTTCTCCTTGCCTGTAAATCTTAAAGTCCTCAGTCTCCTTGCCCAGCCATTGGCCACTGGCAACTTTATTTACCAATCAAATCCAACTGGGAGCCCGGATGCTCAGCATCTTACATGCAGATTCTCATGCAATTTTGGGAACCCAATTAACATAATACAAGTGTCAGACCAAATCCACAGTAGCACTGTAGACTATGGACTCTTAAAGGGAGAGCCTTATATAGCTTGTCAATGATTTTCAAGGCCCATCTCAAAGGTTGCTAAGACATTCCTATTTCCTTTTGTTCTATCTTTTTGGCAGCTGGGAATTAAACCCCTCACCTCTGGAAGAGCAGCTATCTCTCCAGTCCCTGTGCTGTTACTATTTTATTTCAATTTAATTTATGATCTTCTTTTATCATATTTATTTACCAGTTTTATGTTCCTTATTTGTCTAATAATCTTATGCATATTTCTGAAGAGCCTCGAATCAGCAACAAAAACTTCCTTACTTGTCATCATTAAGAAATAGAATTTGTATAAACTTTGCCTTTCCACAATTCTTTTTTTTTTTTCAAGACAAAGTTTCTCTGTTTATCCTCAGCAGTCCTGCAACTTGCTCTATAAACCTATCCTGGCCTCAAATTCACAGAGATCCACCTGCCTCTGCTTTCTGGGTTCTTGGATTAAAGGCATGCGACACCACTGCCCAGGTCCTTTCTACAATTCTTAATCTCCAAGAATTGAATTATGTTTATTTTTAAAGAGGAAATGGAAAATGAACAGACATTTTGTTAACTCTAGAATCAAAAAGAATAAAACACTAGTTTGTCTTCCAAGAACTTATAGTTGATTGTATAGGAATACAAATTTTGAAAGAAGGTTTCCATGTAAGAAAACAAATTAATAAGTACCTAATAAGGATTCCTTCAGAAGCCAACAATGGAATTTAGGAAACTTCACATTTTAATATAATGATAAAGGAAATTGGAAGAAGTTTCATGAAGGAGGCATGATTTGAGTCATTCAGAGAAAATAAGGGATTCTTCAACTCATTTTCTTTCCCTTTTTCATTTAATGCATTTACTGATTATTTTCTTGGGACTCTCTGGGCTACAAAGTAGGACTATTGATAAGAGTTATGTTCATACAAATTCTTTGTTCTTTCCTTCATTTCACATCACTGCCATATCAGCAAATAAGCAAAGCAAGGGTTGTATAGGAAACCAAGTGAAGAGACTCCCGGTACTCTAGATTCTTTCAGAAGGGATCCTAAATTTCCTCACAAGGGAATGAGTATTCTGTTAAGTCAATATGACTGCATTTGCAATGTTCTGGGTTATATAGAGATACACATGAGTAATACAGGGTCTGTAGTATCATGATATATGGAGCTTGATGCTCATACAAAATTGTATATTTCAGTGTCTTATTCTTTCTAATTTGGGTCTATCCAGGATTTCAAGATAAAAGATTTAATACTTACTCAGTGTATTATTAATGCATAGTGCAGTGTCAAGTTCTTAATGGGACTTACCTTCATAGGTAGTTAAATAAGGTATATGATATACAAGAGCTTCAAGAAGGAACACGTGTTCAGTGAGTACAGCTGTGACTCATTCCTCATCTAACTTGAGGTCTGTTTTTTTGGAATAGAAAACAGACATAATGGAGGAATAGGCTGCATCAATTAGTAGGTGAGATACATGAGTATATTATTATAAGAAAAGTATTTAATCATTGTATAAAATATTTTGGAGTTGCAAGAGTTTGTTGAAATAAAACAGAGATGATGTTTTTCAAGAAGTTTAAATTGGCTACAATGGGTGGTGGACTCGAGGGACCCAACACTTAGAAGAGAAAGTACTGCGTTAGGCTTGTATATTATTCCACAAAGCAGTAAGTACACAACAAAGATGAAGAGTTTCAAAGGGCCACAGGAAAAAGAGATGGAAAGGATATTATAGAGAAACATGTGCAGAGTGTAATGGTGGAATAACTGTCTAAGAACAAGATGGGAGAGGGATTGGAGATTATTAGATATCAGTTTTTGTATAAATTTTCAGGAGGATAGAAGCCAGAGCAAAAATATTTGGTAACATTTTATTTGGGGATGACAGCCTAGAGAAGTAATAATGATGGTAAATGAATGAGAAACAGAGAAGGAATAAAAATAAAACACTAGGTGGTCACAGTTTTGTAAGAAACACAGATGGTTGCTCAGTTACATTAGAATTTCTTGGAAGGGCTATACGGAATCGCTTTGGCTTGTAACCATCTAATAGAGGCAAGAGGAGTTTTAAGTAGATTTTAGCTGCCAGCCACCTGCTTTCTCCCATCTTCTGTCAGTCAAGTTTGTCCCACCGAACATTAATTTTCAAGTACTTATGGAGTATGCTTCCCAAGTTTTTGGTCCATCTTTAATGCAATGAAATTCCCAGACAGTTCTGAATGTATCTGAATTTCAAGGTGAGTCAGCTAGCTGTTGTCTCTTTGCCTTAGGAGCTGTCTAGGTGAGTCATTATAATTGCCTAGACTTGATAGTTTGTATCTCTTAATATTTGACAAACATCTGGAAGGCCCAAGGTGGGAGATTATAAATGTACAAAGATATTGGAAGTCTAGAGATATTGTTGAACACCAGAGGGACTGAATCTATACCTCCTTCTGCCAGGAAGAAGGTAACAGAGCTCGTGGTTTGTTTATTTTTGCTATTGGTAATTTTTTTTTCCTCTAAGGAAAGTCAAAGCCTCCTCTGTGATCCTTAAGGTCATGGGTTATTCCAGGTTTTCATCCTGGATTGTCTTCAGAAAACTATGAGTCTGGGGCTGGAGAGATTATTCACTGGGGAAGAATGCTTGCTCTTACAAGACCATCATTCCCCCTTACCAGCACCCTTGTCAGGAGGCTTGCAGCCTCCTATAACTCTAGCTTTAGTTGCTACACCACCTTCCTCTTCATTCCAAAGGTACTGACACTCATATGCACACACACACACACACACACACACACAAGCATAAAATAATAATAACCTTTAAAAAGGAGAAACCATGGGCTAGTGGAACTGGAGAAGCACAAAACTGTGGTATAATCAGATACTATGAGAACACTGGTGGCATTGATTAGGATAAGCAATGTTCATTTTGAAATTAGCATTTCCCTAGAAACAGAAACAAATGAGCTTCCTCTACAAAATTGACCGTGACCCTGTGGTGAAATCTTGCAGTACACATCAAAGAATTATAGATCAATGAACAGTTGATATTTAAAGGAACTTTAGAGGCAACGTGCTGAAATGTCTTATTTTAGTCATAGTGGAAGGTATGACTCACAGAGGTTTAACAGTATTATAAACAACATAAAACAAGATGTAGAAGCGAGACTAAGAAATTGATTCTCTCCAGGCTTCTAGCAAAATGGAAGACACCAGCCACCTGAGCTCTCATCCGTCATCTGATGGTGACACTAGTTTCAGTGACTTGCTCTTAAATGAAATAACTGGAAAAGGCACTTCTCAGAGTCCTACCGATCTCTCACCTTCTACTACTCTCTGACAGGCTCAACAGAGCAATGCTACAGAAGAAATAGTTTTGTAAATACAGTATTTAAGACCTCTGAAAATGGAAATGGTGACAGAGAGTAGGGGGCCAATGGTTAAGCTTTATGTTACATCTGGGTACAAAGTTAGAAGTAAGAAAATTACAGAGGTTACCCAGAAGGAAGAGAGTACTGAGCTAAGAAGAAACAGGAAGTACCTGAGACCCAAGCTAGAGAGATAATGGAGGACTAATACAAACTTCAGTAAGGAGGGGCAGGTAGAAATGAAAGGAAAGGCTAGATATGGTAGATATCTTAGAGGATATCTTAGATATCCTCTGGGAGGATAGCTAAGGGAGCCCAGGCTGATGATGTGTTTAAAGCTGAGTAGTTACACAAGAAGTCCTGGAAAAGTGGACTGAGAGACTGGTCAACAGGTTGGACAGGAGGGAGCAAGGTCAGTCATAGGAGGGAATGAAAAGCACTGGGAAAAGTCAGTTGGAGCCTTGAATAAGGAAAATTTAGAGGAGAGACTAAGCTATATAGATTACAGATGCTTGCTCTTTGCGAGATTATATGCTAATAGGAGTGAGATCATCAAGAAATAACAAAAGCAGTGAGCACACAGGTTATTTAATAGTATGGAAAAGAAAGTAGAGTCAGAAGGGGATGCCATTGAGAGCAAAGAGTGGACTATACCCAACATTTCTATCACCTCCCAAAATGGCACCACCAACTAGGGAGCAAGCATTTAGAACACCAGGCACAGGGAGCATCACACATTCAAATCATAATATGGAGCATCTG